CGTGTCATTTAGAATATAGAGGAACTTCGTTATGTCGATGATTTTTTTTTTTTTTTTTTTTGCACACTTTAAATTATAGTTCTGTTATTCATTTTTTTGTCTGTTCATATATTCCTTTGATTTTTTTTTATTTTATTTTATTTTTTTTATTTAGCCATTAAGTTCTAGCTTGGATTCTTTCCAGAGATCATGTCTATAAAGGTGAAAATAAAATGAAAATAAAAACAACCAAAACTGTTCAAGCACTACTATTTCAAAGACAAAAATAAGAATACGGTTGTTGTATGCATTTGTATTCAGTCTCCCTAAATCAGGACTTATACGCCCGTCTCTACAAGCTTGTAAGGTTATTTCGCTGTAAGGTCGACTACAGTTCAAGTCATATTTCTCAAGCCTTTTACATCATCTTTTTTTTTTCTCCAGCATTGGGTTTTTATTTATTCAGTAATTCTGTCCAGTTTCCCTGTTTCTGCCAAAAAAAAAAAAAAAAAGCCTCCCAAGAGCAAGATATTGACACCACAGTGCCTTATGGTGGATATGGTGTTTGGTCAATGTGTTATGAAGTGTTCGTTTTCTGTCACACATAGCACCTTTGGTCTTATTTGACCAGAGTGCCTTCTTCTGCATGTTGCTGTGTAACCTACATGGCTCGAAGTACTCTGCAAACAGGACTTCTAACACATTTGTTTTTACAACTGCTTTCTTCCAGCCAAACCTCTATAAAGGCAAATTTGTGGACAGATCCCCCCCACCTGAGCTGTGGACGTCTGCACATCCTGGATCTTGCTTCTTTGATCAATACTCTCCGTACCGTTTCTGTCATTTTACCGTCATAATCTGTACATTACAATATTGTTTAAAGGTTAATTCATTTCTGTAGATTAGTTACACACGGACTGAGGTTTTCTGGCCCTTTGATGTTACTTATGATTTTTGTTCTTACAGCTAATAGAAACAATATTTGAGATAAGACTTTTATATCCAGGGAAAAGTATAATGTTTAATACTGGAACTACAAGGACATACATAATGCAAAATACAAACAGAATGTAAAACTGGTGTTCACAAAAGCAAAGAAGCAAGACCCTAGAGATAGAACTTTTTTTTTTCCAACAAAAAAGATGACTTTAGACTTATAACTACAACCACATGACAATACAGTCATAATCCACAAGGACATAAAGAGCTAATTAAACATTAAATCACTAATTTACATAAACCTGTGCTGTGCAGCTATTGTTGCAGTTGCTTGCATTTTTAGTAATTTTGTGGGAGTTACAGTATCTGACATAGCTGATGACATAAACAAAATGAATAACTCATCAATCCCCAAGCACAGTGTCAGTGCTGCAACATGGTCATTTTCTTGCCAACGGACTTCTTGTTGCCAAAGCTAGCAGCTGTTTACCCGATAATGACAGAAAATAAGAGTAAGAACAAGCCTATAATTGCAATAATTCATACCTCTTATATTGCAAAAAGTATTCCCTCTTGACCGTTTCCACATTTTGCCAGATTCAAACGAAAAACTTAAAATGTATTTAACTGGATTTAAAGAAGTAGACCGAGACAAACATGATGGTGAAGTGGAAGAATACAGCCCTACAGCCCCCCCTTCCCCCCCCCCCACTTGCTTAAGCCTACTTTTGAAAACAGGGCCTGGTTTTTCATAACACTTCACACAATTAGCACAACACTGCAGATTATTAAAATGGAAGACTTCAGTCAATACTACAATTTCTTACAAAAACCTTATTTTCTTATCAAAACCTCCAAAACCTCCACCATATGATTTGACTCTGTTTGATTCAGTTGAACACTCCCATGTTTATCTTAAAGCCTCTTTAATGTTTATGCACAGAAAGTGTAAAAATAATTCCACCATCCCCACATGACACCGGTTGTACAGACCAGTGGATTTATTTGCCTCACAGTTTACTGTAATGGCCCAAGTCCAGAAACATATATGACAATAAGATCCACATCTATCCACCTAGTTGGCCACAGTGCCTTGACAACTATCCAGGCAATGTTTTCATTAGCAAGGCAAAGTCCCTTTGGTTTGCAGCAGTCATAATATCGTATAGTCTGTTCAAAAATGTAAGAATGAGGTCAGTGTTGTAAGGACCAAAGTTGGCATGACAATAGAGGACAGCTTTCTGTGTTAGGTCTGTACAAAGGGGTAATGTTACCCAGGCTTCTTGGCCCTGACAGTGACAGAAGCCCTGTGGCCAATGATATTCCTTCTTTAATCTCCATGTTTATTTTTTTAAGGTATGTTATACTGTCTAGTGACCTGATTTGTGTGTCCCTAGCTATTTAAATATGTATGTGCACACCTTGCGGCAGTGTTTTAACAATTGGATCATATTGGAAGTAACATTATGATTGATTTCAGTGTCAAAGCCATACAAGCTCGTTTACTATTTTGCAGGGTTTTTGATCCTTGACTGTTCGACTGTCTTATGATTTGCCTCAGCAATCATCCAAAACTGCAATTATTCAGAGTGTATTTAAAACTTTGAACAAATAATACTCTTAAAAACATATCATTAGCATTTAACTCTACTAGAGAATATTTAACAAATCAGTTTTTGCCATAGATTCTCAACTGGATTTGACTGCATTGCAGCATAAGATTATCCCTTGGTCTAAATTATTCAATTGTAGCTTTGACTGTTTTGGCTTGTTCACCTGTTGGAAAGGCAACTTCAGCCTCAGTCTAAAGTCTGTTAGAGTTTCTGGTTTTCTCCCAGTGACACCCTGTATTTGTCACCATCTCTTTTCCCAGATCCTCTATTCTTTTTTGAACAAAGGGATTCTCACACCGTTAAGGCTCCCATATACATTAAACACATTTACAATTTACACATTAAACAAAAAGTATCAGATACTTGCGATGTACAAAGGAAATAATATTTTTTGTTGTGCAAACATAAAAAAGTGGCATGCCCGTATGTATTTAGCCATCTTGAAAAGAAAAATCTGTGCAACCAGCTGTTTTCATATTTCACCTAATTTCTTCTACTTCCTGGTTATGCTCTAATTTGTATCTGTTTAATTAGTAATGTGTAATTTATTCTTAGTTTATATTCTGTTGGTCTCTGTGGAATTATCATGCAATAAAAATGCTCTAATGATGCACCCAAAATAAATGCATGTGCCTTTCCTAAAGGTTGTTTTGCCTCATGTACAATAAAACGTTAGAATTTCTAACATTTTTGAACACAGCAGAAACTCTCTTGATCCAAAATGATTTTTTTTTTTAATTACACTGAGTTTGTTGAAAATAGATCCTTGACTATCAATTGTGTTATGCCAGACAATCGAATGTTATTTCAAGGCTTTGCTTCACTCTGATTTCTACTGTTGCAGTAAAGAGTAACACAAAAACTGAGACACACAAAAAAAAATAGAAATTTTTCCTCACTTGTTTTTCCAGGGCTGAACAAAAGAATTATAAATTTGATTCGAGTATTCTTTTCTTAATTTATCATTTGCCTTTCAGAGTTCAGCAACCTTTGTTTTAATTGTAGCACACACTCATGCATGCCAAAAACACATTCATTAAGGTAAAACCAAATGAATCATCTGACCCAGATTTCTTCTCTCTTCCTCTGCCCACAGCCGTCGCCCTGTGAATGGTGCCGCTGCGAACCAAATAACGAGGTGCACTGTGTGGTGTCCGACTGCGCTGTCCCAGAGTGTGTCAACCCTGTTTATGAGCCGGAGCAGTGCTGTCCCATCTGTAAACATGGTAAACATTTGTCTTGACATTCTCGGGAAATCGGCGCGCATTAGATTTCCTTAGAGTTATTAGGTTTTCCTTAAACCAGTGAGAGCAAGTTTATCTACAGCGTCGCCAGATGATTTTTATGCCCTTAGAAGATGAGGACGTAATTGATGTTTTATGTATTAAAATTATTACCTTTGGCCCACAAGACTCTAATGAGCAGTACTAGTTTTAATTATAAATGACACACTAAGCAGAGTAAACATTAGCCCATTGATTAAAGGCGATGGTACGAAGGACTAATGGGTCCTTGGAGGGCTTTTTATCTGCAAGCGCCCAGGCGCCCTTGTCACATACAGCCAATCTCTAAATTAGAATTATAGGATTCCAATGGTTCATTGACTATTTTTAAGGCGAGGTGGGTGGCTTCCCTTAGCAAGTTCCAATTCCTGAGGGACAGATGGAACTTTATGACTAAAGTCAAGCTGTTGGAACCATCGCACGCAAAGGGCACTTTGGGTAATATCAAATTCATAGCCTGAACACGATGCTGCATTCATAAAGAGAATGCGTTTGGAACTAAAATACATACAGGTGCATTTGAAAACCGATGCTTCCGTAGCAGTTGACCTGCATTTTGTCAAGACAGCCCACATTTCCTTTTACACTAAGTATTTTGTTTATGTCCACTGTGTGTAGCGATAATCCAACACATCTTTTCTCACACAAAAACGCCTACAGTAACAAGGCTGCCGAAGCTGCTTGAGGAGATCTAATTCAGCCTGACAGGACACAATGACACCCTTGGCATTTCAGGGAGGGCCTGCTGTTTGCAGGTGCCCCAAGGGTGTTTGGTCAGACTCTGGGATACACATAAATCTCAATACAAGTGGAAGGCTTGGGGATGTGAAGAGAGGACAAAGAGGGGTGATGTTTAGCTCTCACTTCTTGGCAGAGAACAAACAAGTGGGATGAAGTCATGCTTGAGTCAAACCACCTGTCAGGGTGAGGCATGCATTTTTCTAAATAATTACACTGCTGTGCAAAAGAGCTCAGTAAGCACTTTTTTTTTTTATTCATTAAACTATTTATTTGGCAGAGTGGAGCAAGACGTTTTGTTGTTCTGAGCAATATTTATGCATCCTTTACTATGGAAGATTCTTACCTTCTAGTTTGAGACCAGAGTCTGAAAGTATTTTTCAATTAAATGTTTGCTTGGCAGAATGTTGCTCTTGCCTTTGTGGCTTTTGAAGAGGCAAGAGCAGCATAGGATTCTCATAATACAATAACCTGTAACTATACATGGACAAGAAACAAAAGTAAAAATATAACATTATCTAATTGGTTTTGTATAACAGAAAGCAATTAACACTTGGTGAGATTGATGAGATTGATGTGTAATGCTCCTTTAGTTTCCACACTATAACTGCCTACACGTTTTTGCAAAGGTTGATATTTCAAAACATCTAACATTGTCTTTTTTGTAAGTTATGGAAAAGTGTTGGGCCTTTTTTTTTTTAGCCAGTTGACTAGCATTGGACAAGTGGAAATGTGAGAAGTGCAGCTCAGGTCTGTGCTTCAAATAACCATGGAAAAGACTGGTCTCATTTGCGCTGTTTTCTGGTACTCTTCGTTGTACAATTTTTACTGTTAATTATTTATTTATTTTTTTTTTACCTTTTTAGAAGCCTGTAGAGATCATACACATTCAGACTTGGGTCCTTTAAAGAAAAGAAACAAAAATTGTGTCAATAGTTTAACTCACTGATTTGACGATAAGACACAGCAGTGGGTCCAAGAATCATCCTTGTGAGCTAGTAATGATGATGCTGACTGATTAAAAACAACAACTGAAAGAAAAAAAAAAAAAAAAAAAAAAAGCTTCCCGTCATATTTTCAATGAGACAAAAATAATAACATATGCTGTTGTAAAACAACAGCATATGTTTTAAAACATTTATTTAATCACCTACATCAGTATAATGCTGTGAAGATAATGTTGAAATCAGCCCAAAGCAGTAAGGTCAAACCATGGGTTGTTTTAGAACTGAATGTTACCATACATCAAAATCTTTATGACAAAATTTTTAATGGATATGTCGGTTAATGTGGCAGTACTTGGCAGCCTCACAGAACTCACTTGCATATTTTTATATTGTAGTTCGGTGAATAAACTCTGCTTTTAATGATTAAAACTTATACTGGGATGTTGGCATGGCACCAATTGCTCCATTGACTGTATGTGGGGGGGAGGGGAGGGGGGACAGCCATCACAGAAAAGCTCTTAGTGTTGTGAGGCAATGGAGAAGAAAGACTGTATTCAAGCTAGACACCAGAGGTGACATCGGTCAAAGATAACAATCCGTAAAACAATGAGAACAGAATTTGCTAACCGAACAGACTATACAATGCCAAAGGTATAAAAAAAATAACGTGTAAAAACCAGGAACTTTATTTACCCTCAGCAAGTAAAGGACAGATCCAGGGCAGGTGTGACAGTTAGCAAATTGGAACAAATTAGGTGTGAAGGGGGAGCAAAAAGCAAGAGCAACATGAAAGGAAAGCAGGGAACATGCAATAAAAATGAATAACGATGACAAAAAAAAAGTAAAATAAAGAGGATTTCACGAAAACAGATCCAGACAAAACACAATTAATCTAACTAATTTACAAGAATTAATATAAAATTGGGCGCGGTAACCACAACCTGCAAAACAAATACAATTCCTTTACTTTTCACTCAAAAAAAAAAAAGAAGTAAAGATATTGGTATTAGTAAATATTAGAATAAGAGGAGAGGTATTACCCTATTTGGATTGCTGTAATCCTACTTTATAAAACAGTAGACCCATGCCTGTGGGTCTCACTGTATTGCCACAGCTTTGATTATTAAGATGGAGAGCTTGAGCACATCTTTTATGGTTTTCTTCGCTAAAAACTATAACTTATCATTGTATAATAGGTAATATGTATTTAATAGTAATATATGTATTCATTCAGCAAACAGGTCAGGTAAATATGCAATTATTCTGCTCTCACAAATTGGCAACAACTGGTGAGCACTTAAGAGCAGCGATCAAACATCCTTTGTGGAGGAAAACAGGAAGCTGAAACTGTGTTCTTGTGTCCCTAAGCCTGTCTGGCTGTAAAATGTTAACACTTGGCAGCAGCACTGGTCACACTCAGCCCACATCAACCTCAACTGAGTTTGTCCTGTAACCTGTGCCAGCTGTCTAGAGGTAGATCAATGGGAGTTAAGACTTGGCAAGCACTTTCAGTGTCTCCTCTAAGCTCAGATCAAAGGGACCTTTACCAGGTCAACATCCTCCACCCAACCACCGAATAAGATTGAAATTATCTATGCTAAGGCGTAAGAGGAAGATGAGAACTCCTGGTAGACATTGTGTTCTTTTGGCTTACTGTTCAGGGATATTTACTTCATTTCCACTTGCTTTTTCCAAATATGACTTTAGTTTGAGGGAAACTATTGGACTGTTAGGCTGCAAAAGTCTCATATTTCTTAAACTAACTATTAAAAATATTTAGAAGAAAGTGCAGACACAACATTTTTTGTCTAACATGAACAAGGACCAAAAGCCTTGAAGTTTATTTGTGGCTAACATTATGTACTGGATCTGGTGTGTGCAGGGAACCAAAACTGACTCTGACCTGTGGGTCAAAATTATTTTAAAGGAGTAGTGTATTACCCAGGCACATAGTGTCATTTTATAGCACTACCAAGTAACTATGTTACCTTCGGTTGGTATAAAATTGCTGTGTACAACAAACCTGACAAAAGAAATTTTGACATCTTAAAATGACCTCTGTACCTTTAAGAAACTCTGACATTCTCCGACACATCCTTAAGCACGTCGTCACAACACTTCTCGTTATGCTGTTTACAACTTCTTAGGAGCGTTGGACTGAGAAGTAATTTACACGATAAGTTCAGCAGACCCTTAGTTCTACCAGGTGTTTGCTAATTGCTGCTGCCACTAGTCTGGTGGAGTTGTGTGGGGGAGTCACGGGGAGAGGTGCTCTGCGAGGCGGAAGCTCAGCTGGAGACTGCAGCTTCGAGGAGGAGTGTTACAGAAATAGATATCCCTAAATAGCTGCCACGGGAGATTCAAGAATTCATGAAGCATGCATGAAAAAAATCAAAGCGCAGAAATGTTTTTGAAGAGGGAATAACTTCATAACATGAATAACCTTATAACATGAATCCAAAGATTATTTATTCACTTTGATTTTTGAAGTTATGGTTAGGGCAGAGGCCTGATGGATTACAAATATATATATTTTTAAGTTAATCAGTATCATATTGTTTTCATAACACAGCTACAAATAGACTTAGACAAACAGACTGACCACTTTGTTAGGTATACATTTTTAACTGCTTGTTAACACAATTAGTGAATCGGCCAATCATGGCACTTCAACTCAATGCATTTTGCTGGTGCCTAATGACTGGTCAGAGTTTTTAGAAAATGCCTTGTAGAAAAATCTACAAGTATATTTATGCACAGGGATGAAAATGACCCACAAAATAGCAACAAGTGAGCTGCATTGGTTTTATGCACCAATGATGTCAGATGAGAATAAACAGAAGGCTTCAGGAGTATCATACACAACGTAACAGAGCTAAAAAACAAAAATAAAACTATAACTCATTTCATGAGTATTTAATAAAGTGTTCTCCATTAACCTCCACAGTCACCACATCTTAATCCAAAAAAATGCTTTCTTCAGAAAAATATTTCTGACACCTGGTTTAATGTAAACTGTAAACCAGAACTAATTAATTAATTCTGACGTTAAAGTGGGGTCCAACATGGTACTAGCAAGATGCAGCTAATAAAATCGCTGGTGAGTGAAAACCTTTTTGTTTTTCTAAAATGGTTGAAAATTTCCTCCTCCAGCTTCCAGACATGTGGCAGGTACACGGACAGGAACCATGTAACTTTTCCAGCTGACAGCCATTTACACCTCTCACATTAGATTATCTCACAGTAAATCAGTTTTATAGGGACACTAAAATGACTACTGGCCCTGAAAGAGACTCTGTCTTCAAGAGTTATGACACATTTTGGTTTTTTTTATAGTAAGTTATAGAGGAGTCTTCACTCATGCAGGTTGTACAGAGCGGGATGCTGAGAGCAATCTCAAGTGATTGTCACACCATTTGAGCTGTTGATTACTTTGTTCAAATGAGTAAAACTAGGTAAATGCTGCACACCTTCTACTTATTTTGTCTCACGGGGGATGGGGAGAGATACCTTCAGTTCACCTTTAGGAATGGTAAAAAAATAAAACAAACAGGGAAACTGCTCGGTTTTTACCTGTAACATCATGCAGGTCGCAGCAGATTTAGCCTACAAGAAAACATTGTAATCTTTAAACAGTATCTGCCTATGTACCACAGCTCAGATTACCAAATACATGGGAATGGTGTGTGTTCCTGTGGTACACAAGCACATTTTAAAAAGGAATCCTATCAACAAGATGGAATCCACAAAGGTAAATCCTACTGAGCTTTAAGGATAAATCAGATGTCAAAATTAATCTGAGTACTTTATTGCCTTGCAAGTGTGTTCTTGCATTTGTAGGAGGGGAAAAAAAAAAGAAAACTATAAGGAGTTCTGTGGCTCTTTCATACAGAAGTGAAGTGATTAACACCAACCCTCCCTCTGCCCTCTCAAAGCAGCTTTCTCTCTCTTCCTCTGCCTCTCTTTGTGCACTCCAGCCTCTCAGTGCTGCCAAGCCAGCGCCTGGCAGGCTCCTCTGCTCGTGGCGCATTAGGATGCAAAGCGCTCCATGTCGAGGGAGAAGGGGAGACTAACAAAAGCGCTTTAGTGTTGCAAAAACAAGCCCATCGGTGCGTGCCTGTGAAAAGATCTGTGCGTCTGCTCTGACTCCCCTAACTACCCCCACCCCCTCACCCCCCAGTTCTCTGCATCACTCCACCACCCCTTCTGCAAAGAGAAAGCTCTCGGGGGAGATGCATCCATTTCTTGTCGTTCTCACTCCTCGTTTCCTGTGTTTCTACCTCCTTTTCCCTATCCCCCCCCCCCTCCCCCTCCATTCCTTCTCATGCGGCAGGTCCAAATTGCTTTGCCGGAACGACGATCATCCCAGCCGGAAAGGAAGTAAAGGTGGACGACTGCACCATCTGCCGCTGCCACAACGGAGACTGGTGGAAGCCGGCGCAGTGCTTGCGGCGGGAATGTCTCAACGGCCAGTCTTCATAAAGAGAGACTCCACTGCGGATGGTGAATAAACTCAGGCGACGCTCTGCCTACTGCGCCATTTTATATGATTGACAGGGCATGAGCACAATTCCTACAACAACAAAAAAAAAAGAGTATAAAGAAAACCAGAGACAGTGTAGAATTGAAGAGATGCTCTCACGAACTTCACACAAATAATTTTTTTTTTGTCAGTGAGAAGATAATGGAACTTGTCACACGGCTGTTCCCGCCCTGCAGTTTTACTCGGCCTATATATTTTCAAAAGTTGACTCTGCTGCTTTCTCTCAGAAACTTTCTAAGCTTCTTGAACTCTTTCCTATCCACCGGCAATGTTGAACTGCTCATGTCAAGTTTCTGTATGTATGTCATCAGCTTGTTGTTACTATATGTTCTTCACGGCCACGCTGGTGTTGTAAAGTTCGAACAGCAAGAGGAAAAAAAAAAAAAAAAAAAAAAATTAAAACACACTTTACTGAGCTTTTTTATGTTCTCCTGGTTATACTAGGATTACCACTGCAGATAAACTTGGGCTCCCCAACTTCCCTCCGAGAGCTTGTTTACAAAAGGCACATTAACGTTTGTCTTCATAAGACTTTTTAAAATCAATGTGGCTGTTGCTCATCTCTACCCTGTCAATGTCATATTTCATAAATCACAAAACCCAGTTTTTTTCTTTTCTTTATTAGTATCCCATTACTTTGTGCCGTGTCTCTGTGTAAGAGCAGCACAAACTGAGGAGATCAGCATTACCACGTGTAGCTGAGGCGCAAGCAAGATGGCAGCCACTGCAACCCTTTTGATGAGCAGAAACTGCAGCCCTTCCTGACCAACTGGTTTCATTGTTTGTTTGTTTTTTTTTTCATTTCTCCGAGCTCCAGATCCGCCAACTAACTAGCTGCTTGAACTTGTTATCAAAGCACTTAGCGAGCCAAGAGCAGCCCGCTTTAATTTTCCTTAATCAGGAGTATTCTGTAATAAATCATCCAGCTGGGTGCTTGGCGAAGCCTGCTTGCTGGGCACATTTAGCATGAACCGGCACACAAAGGGGGGGAATCTGCACATGGTGAAAGCGCTTTTAAGCAGCATTCACAAGTGTGATGTCCATGTGACGATGCAGCCGTGTCATTCATCCACTGTCTCAAGACATTTTTTCGTTCTGCACTCACTGAGGAGCATTAACCACATGCATAAGGCGCGCCGAGATACAGAGCTCTAAAATGTAACACAGATTTTCGTTCCGCTCTCTCTTAAATGCACCAGAATGTCTCAGCCAGTGTAGAGCAGCTGTGTGGCCATCGCAATAAAAAAACAGCAAGGCTAATATATTGAAGTGCCTTACCAGGCACCATAAACATAAAATCTTTCACTTGATAAATACTTCTCATTAATCCAAAGGTGATTTTCCGTATGCTCCCGCCATTCATCACAAAGATTTTTTTTTTTCCCCGAGTTTCAAGAAAATCTGTTTCCGTTAACCTTTTAAACCCCATTCCTGTGCAGTGATGGATGAGTTGCTTAATAGCAGCTTCTAGCCCTGTGTAATGAGACAGCAATGAACAGAGGATTAAAGACCTGTGACTAAAGAGGTATGTCACCTTAAAAGGCATTAAAACTAATTTTAGAAGGATCCCAAAGTATGGATATCTGCTGCATGTCTTGAAACTTGAAATTGGGTAAAGTTCGGTTTTAAAGAGGCTGTTAGGAATCTTTGAAATTTATGTTAAAAGGTTTTAAGCAGCTAATGTCTTACCAACAGCAAAGAAATATCTTTGCATCGTCATTTAGTGTAAACCCAGATTATTCAGTCACAGAGACTGAAGTTAACAAGAGACCCAACATCAAATTAGATCACCTTCTTAAAACAATTCTCAAAAACCTCATTGCAGTTTATGTAATTGTTATTTTATGAAGCTTGAAATCGTTATTATCATCACTCTTGCATTATATGGTTATTTTCACAAAAGCCAATGAGTATTTATGCAGGAAATAAAGGAAAGAGATTAGGTACCACCAATATTGTTCCTACATGAAATGTAATGAAACAAAAGTATTTCTGGTCCGAGTAATTACCTAATAGTAAAGTAAGCCCTGTAAAAAGTTATGTAAAAATGTTCACTTAAATTTACATGTTTTTGATTTTTACTATAGTTTTTAGTCTTTGGTAAAATAGCACTTACACAAATTACTACAATGGTGAAGTTGCTTTACTGTTGGCCTGTCGTGTACTAGCCGTTACCTCGAGCCTTTGTGATCGACCAATCTGGGTTTACACTAAGTGAAGCTAACGTGAGCGTCAACTACGGTAGGTAAGATTTCTGCTCATAACTCAGTAAAATAACCCCGTTTCAAAAATCCAGGGTCATCAACTTAAATAGATAAGAGATTTTAGGTAAGATTCTTTGAAGAGATCATCAGACTTCCACTGTAAAAGCCCAACAAGATATTGTAGTGATTTTGCTGCAAAATATAATTCTATAGCTCTTCAAACAGCCTATAGTGTCTTCACCTACTGTACAACAATAAAATGTGATATTATGAAGACAAATAGAGGAACATTAAAGTTTAATTAGGTAGAGTCAATAAAATGACTTTGTATTTTTATTTTATTACTTGCAATGTGTTTAAACTGATATCTACAGTCGCTGTATGACAAGCTGTCAAAAAGGGAATGGAAAAGGGCAAGATATATATAAAACCCTAAAAATTACTTAATCCACTCCCACAGCATGAGAACCAACCTAGCTTTAAAAATACAGCACAAACACCCAACAATATGCCATTATTTGCACCTCTTAATACATTTTTCTTGAGGTAATTAAGTCCTCTGTGATATAAAATACCTCACAGCTGTACCACAGGGGATTAATATAGTTATCTAATCCCATCATCTCAAGTTGTACTTAATTTTTGATTTTAAGGCATCGTTCAGTTGGTCTATGCAGCATTTTCCAATTATCTTTCTAGCTACACTGTCTCCTTTTGTTCACAGATGCAGACGTCCCAGGGAAATTAACTAGCTGGTGAATATGCTGTTTCTCTAAATTGCCAAGTCTACTGGAGCTTAAGGCAGTGGTTTGTTTCACGTTAACTTGCTAATATAAAGCCTTCACTGATATCTACAGTCACTGCAACACAAGCATCACCCGCTGTCATGCATTTTTAACATTTGAATCAAAATGCAGTACATCATCTCAATTTGAAAAACTGGGGAAAAGGCTAAAATGCTGTCGTTTTATACAACTGCCTCAAAAATGGCTAAGAAAACTTAAAACCAGTCTCTTGTGAAACAGTATGTAGTAAATATTATAACTAAAATTCCACAGTGCTGCATCCTAAGCACATTACCAAAACTGTCCCATTTCAGGAATCAGCTAAAATGGCAGACTGATTTTTTCTACAAACTCTCACAACAATCTGTATGACTTCAAATAACAATGCTAACACAACTTCACACACCTTTACTTTAAAAAAAAAAGTACCATACTATCTAAGAGCAACAACAGAGTTTGCATCATTTTCATCTTTTAGCTGTTTTGATTTAGTATCTTTCGTTGTGCACAGACAGAGCTCATCTATCTGGCGAGAGGTCTGCAGGCTCATAAAGCAACGCTGACACGAATGGTTTATCAGCTGCAGCCTCTGTGCTCCAGACATTTCAGAATTATGAAAGGGAATTCATTCATCATAATTACTTTAAATGCCATCTAATTATTCAGCTTTTAGATGTGTCCAAAACAGGGAGGAAAAAAAGAAAATGCTAGGATTACAGGTCAAAGCCGAGACTGACTGAACAGAAAGAAAGAGAGTTCAAACTGACAGCACCGCATACTGTATGGACAGGACTCAAAGGCTACGCTGCCACCACAGATGCCTTATTGCTACTGTTCCAGATAAGATTCACAAAGTATGGCCTTTGGCAAACACACAGACTGAACAGCTCTGGACTTTTCTAAGTGCTGGCTTGTATCATTCCTCCTTGCTGTGATTCACTGTTAGATTTTACCCCCAAAACTATTCATTGTTTTATCCTCCGACGTTCTAGAAACAGCCAGTGGGTTCAACACGAGTACAAGGACAAGAGCAGTTCATTCACAGCCGAAACTCAAGAGGCTGGATCTAAAAATACACAGGCATTTGATAAAGGTAAAAAGGGAGAGAGAGAGAGAGAATGAGAGAGAGAGAGGGGGGGGGAAGAGAGAGAAGATGCAAAAGTGGTGGATATGATTTGCACACGAAAGCTACTTGATCCTTATTGCAATGTGACATTGTAGCTCACTGTAGTCCTTGCTCTCACAAATGCATTTCCAACGCCTCTGAAGCGCACAGCTTTTAGCAAACTAAATTGGATGAACAATGGTTTCTCATTTTCTTGATTTGGTGAGCTGCTCTCATTGCCTGAGCTGGAAAGTAGAACGACCGAAGGTGAAGTGGTTGTCAACAGAAAGTAAAACAGCCTAGACTTTAGATCAAGTGTTGCTGCAAATGTTGGAGCGGAGTTGTTATTCAGGTTGCTCTCAGAGAGCAAATCAATCAGGAAACTGTAAATTTATAGCTGCGTGTATGCTTCACTGCAGCAGATTGGATGCAGGCATGCAACAGCGCTGCACTGCTGCATATGTCTTTTTTTTTTTTTTCTTGGTTTGCATTTGAAGTAAAATCGCTTGTTAATCAGCAGATTATCCCAGTGGCTTTCTTTAAGAAATTACATGGCGAAGCATACAGCCAGAGGCTTTAGTAAAACAAAAGACACTACCTTACAAAAAAGCAGCACACATCTGCTGTTCTCCTAGCCTCCCATTACCATTCTCCTTGAAAATGCGTGGAAGGACGGATCGGCTGCTCTGTCTGTCTTTGTGGACTTTCTTGCAAGAAAGTTGAGTCTTTTTGTACGTTTGCAAATGTTTTGTTCAAACAATTCCATCTGTCCTGTCTTCACACTGCAGGCTTGTACATCGGCATTTTGTACAGGTTCCCCCTTTTTTGCTTTTTCCACGAGACACCGACTTACTGTAGCTGGAAACTGTCAACGATTGTGTTTTTTTCCCCCCTTATTATTTTATTCTGCAACAAAACTGTTAAATGAAGTGTGCCTGAAAACCAACACAGATGTGGTAAAGAAAGATTAAAACACTGTTACTATACAATCAATTGTATTATTTTTTTGGGTGGGGGGCGGGGCAAGCACTAAGGATTTGTTGATATTGGACTCAGATCATAGGAACATTTTAACTCACGAGCATATGTGATTGTATTTGAATACATGCTCACACAAGTTCAATTGAAACTGAAAAACAGTCCAAATTTCAAAGCAATCCTTGGTGCTCCACTAGTTGTTTATATGTAAATATCTTCAAAAGTAAAATGTGTATTCTGAAATCTCAGCTGGAGTAAAAAAAAAAAAAATGTCATCAGAAATTACAAAATATGTATTATTCATTTAGACAACAAAATATTTTGTTAAATAGACATAAAAAGAAGTGTTATTCAAAGGATGTGTGTCAGTTCTTTTTTCGGTTGTGTTCAGCCAGCTTTTTTTTTTTTTTTTATCAGGAGGAAGTTTTGCAATTTATTGCCCCAGATCAACTTGAGAGACACAAAAACACCTCCAAAAACTAAAAAAAAAACAAAACAAAAAAAAAAAAAAAAAAAAAAAAAAAAAAACGAAGAAGATAAAACATAACTTAGAGGAAGCTTTCTGGACAAATCCTACTGAATTCTTTTTATTTTTGCTAAACACAACGACTGGTTCAGTGAACCAGAAAGCAGCAAAACCCTAAGGTATTACGTTTCCAAGGCAGAGGATATCCGAATAAATACTAAAAAATAAAAATAAAAAAAATGAAAAAACACACAGTCCTGCTGGGTCATGGTTGTAGGAGAGGAAGAATAGGGAGATACCAATGCTTAATGGTTTTGTAATGCTCTCTGAATTCAAGGGCATTACTCACTGGTTCGTTCTTCCATTCCATTTCATTACAAGCCAGTCCGGGCTTCTATCTCGTCCTCCCTGCTAATTGCCCTCCTCAACCTCCCACCATGAACAAAAAAGGGGGAAGCAATTTTATGCAGCACATTGCAATCAATAGCAATTAGGCGTGTCCCTTACTAATCCCGCTGAAAATGGTATCTTGGGAAATGGCCAGCAGAGGGTATTTAAAGTGCACATACCTGAATGTCTTTTTGAGTGCCAGGGCTTTATTTTCCTGTTGTACACATAACATTGACTTTCTGTCGGGTTTTTGGGGACCTATTGTCTGTTATATACTAAGCAGACATTCTCAATTAGATAATTATCTCTTTCTCCTATATTCATTTGCAATAAAAAAAAAATAATAATCACACTCAAAAAAAAAAAAAAGAAAATGCACGCACACACACGCACAACATTGATTTCACATGGCAACAAACAAAACAGCCTGCAGAGTAGAATTTTGAGCAACAGATGAAAGTGCACGAATTGAACTGCAGATCGACGGGCGCTGATGCCGAGCCTGTGCCGGAGTGTTGTTGTCAAGAGGTGGCAAATTATGATCTAATTCAATCCAATTTCAGCTGATCTAACTGCAGACCTCAACCCAGATCTATGGACTTTCTCTGCAGGGAGGTTCAGCTCACCTGTACAAGGCAGCTTGGAGCACCAGACAGCAACTTTACATCAGACGGCTATTTTATTGTTATCGTTTCAGCACCTCCTCAGGATCAGATCTGGATGTCTAACCTCTTTAAAGTTTGCAGGTGAGGAAAAAAATACTACAGAGAGCCTATGTTAGAGGGTTTAATGTATTTACTGTGGCCTGGATATATTGTACTTTGTCTTTGAGGAAAAACTATTTACGTTTAATAGTTGGAAAGTTTTTTGGGGGTGGAGAGGGTTTTACAGCATTTCAGGCATACTATATGGAGAAGCTGGTTGCCTGTGATGATGAAAATTTCCTCAAGGAAACAAGGTGTGATTAACTTTATTAACTCAAGACTCCATACAATATCAAAGTGCATGTTGGTGTAAAGTTCAAGTACGTTTGATCTTCAACCAATTGGATTATCTGTGGTTGTGTGTTGGGGATGGTGTTTCAGCAAGTATAAATTACTGTGTATGATTAGTGGGTGTACGTATGTGAGTTGGGTTTGTCACGTTGGGGTGAATGGTAGAAGCCCTGCAAGAAAGAGCAATGAAGGACAGGTGGACAGCAGCCTCAGGCACAGAGACACAAGGCACCACCCCAGGGTAGCCATATACACCCTGCACAGAGGCAGGTCGTCAGTGAAGCACAGGAGCAGCTGACCGCAGGCCAAAGAAGCACAGAATGCTGGGCCCTGGGACCCAGCACCAACCCCCACTGGCCTAGGACCCACAACACACCCCAGCAGCAAGACTTCACACCAAACAGGGACGACACATCCCTTGTAGCTAGTGATGGGCAAATGAAGCCTCATGAAACAATGAAACTTTCCAGCCCTCTGCTTTGCAAAAAGGTTCATTACTCGATGCTTCATTCGTCACTCACTAGTGACATCTGCTGGTGAAACTGTAACAGCCTTGTCACTCAGTTGGATCATACTTCCAAAAACTACTAAATACAATATTGTCACAAAGTTTTCATCAAACTCATGTTTAGTAACAGGAGAATCAATGAAACCATATTTAATTGTCATATGTTTTAATTATTAAAATGATTTATCGCCAATCTAATCCTGGTATATATTGAAGGTCAATGGTTGTGTTGGGGTTTCTTTTATGTCATAGATGGATTTGACAATAAAGACATTTGATATTTTAATGTCTTGGGAGTGCAGTGCCTGTTGGAGCATTCACTTTTTCTTGGATTTCTAATTGGCTCTGATCCCTTATATTTGGCTACGTGTTGAATTTTAGTTCTGCAACAGGATTAAATCTGTTTCTGCTGTGCGAGACCGATATATATTTGCTAATCAGACTACAAATAATAGTGGAACTTTCCAGAAGGTGAGAAATTGGGAAGTGGAGGAGTTAATTATTGTTATCTAAGAATAATTTTATTGTGAGCGATAATCTCAAAGAATTCCCAGAAGTCAGAGATTTTCCTCTTGCTGGCTCCATTTCAGACAATCAAGTTTATTTGTGTAGCAGGTTTCAGCAACAATTCAGTTCAAAGAGATTTACATCATAAAATCACAAAAATATAGTTATAAAAAAAACAACATAATCTACAATTGAGAAAACCAGTAACAAACATTAAATTTTGATGAGTGCCATCATCAATACACATCGAATATGTTGGTCAGTGTTCATTTTATTTGGCCACTGAAGACAAATATCCTCCTCTGATGCGCGACCAAATGGACAACAATCCATGAAGCAGGATGACTCATCGTGCTTTTATTTTGAAAACTGACACGCAAAATGAAGCAGTCACGTGATCCATGCAATGCGAGGCCTCGTTTGTTGCCAGTCACGTGGTTTTCAGCAAGACAACACAAGCCTCGAAGCGGGGCTTCATCGGACCCGCCCCCTTTTTACTCGGTACACGCCTCGAAGCCTAGCTTTAGATAGCCCATCACTACTTGTAGCCATTGGTGACAAAACAGGCTCAGAAAAATCACAGATGAACGTTCATAGCAGCAAACAGCCTTCATTTCCGCCTACAACACCACAACAAAATGGCCATCTGTTCTAGAACTATTAAGATATCAAGCAAACATCAACATTATAGCAGCAGCGGAAGCTCAAAGAATGCAACAGGAGCATCATGATAACAATCTTTAGGAGGAATCCTAGAAATACACCATAAGCATTATGCTAACGGGAGCAAAACGCTCATCATATAAACCACAGCAAAGTTCGATGAACAGCAAAGGACAATTGGAATCAGCTGGTGAACAGAAAATGCAAACAGACGGAAAAAGCAAAGCAATATGTTAGCTAAGAACAAAAAAAAATACTGAACAGAAATAGTTTACCTGCTATCTGGAAAATCCTCCATAATCAAGATGGAGAATTCGATTCGTTCTAAGCTTCTGACTCGTTCTTCTCGCCAACATCAACTTCGTCGCCATAGACCCAAAACGTTCACACATTTTCAGCGCGCCGTACATTACTTTCAGTGATGCTGAAAGTAATGTATTATATTGTTTTAACTTTCCCCAGCAACTTTATACGTTATTTAGTTCCATTTCAGAGGCGCTGTAGACTAACGCCACGGAAGAGTTATGAAAGATGTCTGTGGGCGAAAATTCGCTGTCGAGAGTCAGCTGATGGAAATGTATAAGAGATTCAAATTGTTTTAGGTTGGCACACACTATAACGGAAAACTGTCATTTATTTATTCCTTTGACATATGAGGGCAGCGCCTCCTATGGACCAGCCGCCATTAGAACCGCCACGTGCCCCATGTCCAGCCTAAAAAAGGGGGGACCAGCTAACCAACAGGCTCTTTTCCTGCTTTCACTCACTCAGATAAACAAAGTGCCAAAAAATGCCAGTTGATGAGAAATCAACAAAACGGTCAGGGGGTGAGCATGCCATTAATGGTCTTTCAGCCAAACATTCATTTTAGATTAATCAGAATCAAAAATTTAGATCCTTCTTCGTTTCTCCTTGAGTACAACAGTGAACTGACTTAAATGATGGTTTTGGTGTAATGACTTCTTCATCTGTGAGGAGTCTCTCAGCCTATGCCAGTACTAAACTTGTTTTATGATGTATAATGATACTTTTTTACTAGCTGGGAGGCACCTTTAGATCTCTGGGACACAGAGCCCCTTTCTTTCATGAAGGCTGGATATTCCCTGTGTTTACACTTGCAAATAATTGAACATGATAAATGTGGCACCTGCAGGCATGTGGACATCATGAGTGGTCTTAAACAATAAACATCGACTGACTTTTTATTGTATTAACTCATTTCACCAAGTTACACAGACTGCATACATTAGACTGGTGTTTTAAAGCCTTCATTTCTGGTCATTTTGAAAATGTTCATATAAAACTTTTAAGATTAGAATATTACATCAGACAAATAATATGTGTAAATATTTTAATATTGAAATGTATGGTTAATGAGAGAAATTTAAGAAAGCGACCAGAGCTACTTTGAATCTGATAAGCCTCATCAGAACACATAAATATTAATTTACTGAGTAGGACTGCATGTACAGTGTAGAAGTATTTGCCTCCTCACATATTTCTTCTGTTTCCAGGTACCCAAGCAAATGTGTATGACGGATAAACAGAGAATTGTTTCCACATTTTGTCTTATGACAAACTAAGAACCAATCCCTTTTTGTTGACGTAGCTCTAATCATAAGTCCCTGAATTTGACCTTTTTAAATCGCTTTTCTTTAATTATTAGTTTAGGAGTCCAAAAATCATTACACTTCTACTAGCAGTCTAGTAGACTGCTAGTAGTCTACTACTAGCAGACTACTAGCAGACTCTTCAGATAATATACTGAAGAATATTTTTAATTCAGAGAAACATACAATTACACAAACTACTCCACAAAAACTATATAAACTAATTTTCTGAAAACACAAACTTACTGGCTGGATTGATTTTTTGTTTTGTTTTGTTTTTGTTTTTTTCAATTTCCATTGTAGTTATTTCAGTCTTATGAGGCACTGAAAGCAAACATTTGTTACTAATACAAGTCTAAAAAGAACAACTTCATTAGATCTGTGTCATTTTAAACACAGGATCATAAAATGATACATAATTATTTTAGTTCGCAAAAGAATTAGTTATCTGTGATAGAAAACAACCAATGTACCACAAGTTAAAAAGCATTCAGATTGAGTAAAATCTAGAAGAAATGTTATTCATAGAGAATAAAAAAGGAAGAAAAAAGAAAACGGATTGTAATTTAATGCTCAGGCACAGGGAGGAGGCTGAAGGCTGCAATGCAGTCGATGATCCAGGTTGAGGGAGCGGACCACACTTTCCCTCGTCTGACAACCGCCGGCTTGTAGGTTCCTTGTGGGTCGTAGATGATGTACTGGGTGCAGAGCGCCTGGTCAGAGCCTGGCTCTGCATGGTAGGCTGCTGCATTCAGAGTCTGTGTAACGTCGCTGTCCGGCTTTGGCTGCCGGCTCAGAAGTTGGCCGCCTCCTTCTCGCAACAGCTTGGCGAGCTCGTTTTTGGTCGTCCCCTTAAAGGAGCCGAGGAGGAAGAAGAAACAGCCATCGAAAAGCGGTGGAAGCTGGAGAAACAAAACTCTAGTTAAATGTGTCATTTAGGTTTTTGTCATGCTGGCATGGCTCCTAATTCCAGATGAATAATTATTATTCCATCAAAAGCGCAGCTCAGAAGACATGAAACACAAACAGATAAAACAGATCTGAGGGTCCCGTGTTCTCGAGGCAAAATAATTCTCCAAAAGATTTAATTAAATCTCTATGAAATTCGGAAATGCTATCAAATTTACTGTACAAGTGCTTAACTTAGGCACTTTGCCAATAAGACATTTTCAAAAACCTCACCCTCAGAAGAAACTAACTAGTGTTGCTGTTTAAAGCAGCACTGAATTAGAGAACTGTTCAAAGTAACTCAAGCATCACAGAGTATAACATTTCAAGTAATTATGTTCTTTAATTATATTTTAAATTAAGTTCCCCTTTTTTATCTCAAGTGCATGAGTGTCTTTATTACCATTTGTGGTACCACATTAAAAGTTTGAACTTTTTCTCCTTTCAGCAAAAAAAAAATAAAAAAAAGAGAAAAGCACAGTCTTATAATTTGTAAAGCAAATAGCTTCTCAAATTTACATTCTCTAATGACAATACTAATTCGTATAAATTGTAGTTTTTCATGCTAAAACATCTCCCTCCGAGCCGCCCCACCCCCCAACATCAATCACCATCAATAAGCTAAAGCTACACTAAAATGTAATTCTGGTGGCAAATGGAGCCTCAAGACAGAAAGTTCAGCTTTATTTTCTACAAGCTCTCTCAATCCATCTGCTGTCTTGGTGAGCAAGCAGCAATTTTCAAGCCTTGCAACAAATTCTTGTTTGGTCTGAGGTCACGACTCCGACTTGGCCAGTGCAAAGTGTTTGTCTCGCCATTTGAGGATGGTTTGAGCTGCCGTTTCAGCTCTTTTCGTTTTAACCTCTCAAAATCCGTCAAAAAGAAAAACCCAAAAGCTGCTTGGGAGGCATAACTACGTGTATATGGAATTCAATACTCTAAACTAAACATGCCTCTGCTGAATTTTTATTTATTTATTTTTTTAATTTGTATTTGTGTGTTTAAAGTTTACCAAACTACATCTGTTGATCCGACTGCGCTGAGGGCCTTCTCCCGCTTCATGCTCAGCTTCAGGCAGCCACTTTCCCGCCTGCAGACATGCTTTCACCCCTGCCGACAAACAGATAAAGCAAACAAAATTAAGCTGGCAGCTGATTATGCTGACATGAAAGACTGCGACAAGTTGTGAGAGGATGACGAGGCTCGCGTCGACTCTGTTACAAGCTAGAAGAGTTCAAGGATTGCCAAAGCTGAAGTTGTTGACAGAGAGATGCTCCCAGAGTTAACGAAGCAAAAATCATTGTAAATATTAGACAAAACTTGACACTTGAACACAGTCCAACTGAAACTGTGACAGCCAGTATGATAAGAAAATGTTAATTTTTTTAAAAAGAGTAGAATACAAATGTCCCACGGTGGCTGGAGAAATGTTTATGTTACAGCAGCAAGTTATGGTAAAAGTGGGATTATGCATTTTGTATGCATATCAAGGGATAATGCATGAAAAAAAAAAAAAAAATCAAACAACCACCTCTGGACATCACAACTGGAGAACTTCAGCAAGTCACAATAACAACTATTATTGGTTATCTATAAACAATTGTTTCGAAAGCAAAAAAGGGAAAGCCTGTTCTCTTCATGCCCTCAAACGTACAAAGTTTGCTAAACTCTACAGCAGTGGTTCCCAAACTTTTTCTTCTGCGCCCCCCTATGGATTACAAATGGCTGTCTGGTTGAAACGAGGCACGTGTGTGTGAGGGGGGTGGGTGGGGGGCATCGACTTTTTTGGGGGTAAGATGAATGTACTTAGCTGAAAATAGACACCAACATCGGTAGCCTACAAGGTACTTGTTAAGCTAAAGGTTCTGTATTGATATTAGCTAGTCATCTTTTAGCTAACATTACCTGCATCCAACAGCTTTACTCAACTCAGTCGGTTAGTTTGGAGGGAAAAGCTGTGAAAAGTTCTTTGCGTTTTGCTGGTTTGCTGCCGTGATTCTAACACAAACCTACGTAGCTCCGCCCAGCAGCAGGTGGAAACCCAGCGCGAGCGTCGTAGCGCTCATGTTGCGTTTAAAGGCGGCTCGGAAAAACATGTTACAACATGTTAACAACGGTTTAAACAGTTTTAACTGCTGATAAAAGTGACAGAGGACACAAATATGGGAAGTGTGGAAGCCTCTACTGTATCAAATTGACATAGGAATAACAGAGTTGGCCATTCTAAGGTAAAAACCCAGCGCATACAGTGTTCATGTTTTGTTTTTGTTTTTTTCATCCAGACGGCTTCCCGCGCCCCCCCCTGCAATGACACGGCCCCCCCCCCTAGGGGGCGCGCCCCACAGTCTGGGAACCTCTGCTCTACAGGGACTTTAACAGGAACCATGTTGCTTACACTACGATTAGGTTTTTCTGCAACTAATGTTCCAGGTCGTTCTCGCATAAAACTAAATGAGAAATTAAAAAGAAGGAAAATTATGAAATCTTTAAAAAAAAAGCCAGGATATAACCTATACATATGTCTCATGTAACAGTCAAACAAACAAAAAAAAGAGAGTAAGTTGGTTAAAGTCAAATGTGATACCTTCACTGAGTAAAAGTACAAAAGGGTTAGCTTTTTCCCAATTGCTACGTCTTTAACATGGGCAAATAAATCATTTTCATTGATGTCTCAAGGAACGATGAATGACTGATGGTTCCATCCAAATATTGCAAGGTGTTGATGGTAGCTATGCTAGGGGGAGGTTGTGTGGTTGATATATCTGTTGCTCTATGACTCACTGCTTTTTATTAAATCGCTAACAAAACAGAACCATTCTCTAACCGTCCACATTTACGTCTATTCCTAAAAATTAATTCATAGTTTACGACTCGGTGACGGAAACGATTCTAATCAGCATTGTATCCATGGAAACACTTGCCCGGCATATACGTTTCACCTCACAACCACCTCCACAATCATTCGACAGCATCTTTATTTTCTGGAACGTTTCTCCCAGCTGTTCGGCAAAATGAGAAAATTAGTGCAAATGTGTGCAAGTGGAAAACCCTGCCACAATAAAGCAAATTACATACATTCATACATGCATATCTTTAGGAAGCAGTAAATGGTGTGGCACTGTGATTACATTTCTTCAACCCACTTAATTATAGCTTTGTTTCCTGCAGGGGAGCTGGGCTAAAGAAAAGGAGCAGAGATACTGAGGTTAATCGCTGCGGACGATTGTGCTTAGTGCCGAGGACTTATTAGCATATTTATTTATGTTCAGTTCAACTTCTAACCTCCAACCTTTGTGAGTCACTGAATGAGTGAGTGGCAAGATAAATGCTCCCCACTGATTAAACATTAAACCAACTGCAGCTCATTATGACACGTGGATCAGGTCAGGAGGAGTTTAATCCTCAAACCAAATGACCTTGAAGAGATGCCCTGAGGTGCAATACGGGCAATTAAGGAGTAACAAGACACAGAACTTCAGCAATAAAAAAAAAAAAACAAAAAAAAAAACAACTTGAGTCATGAGTATGTGGTTAAATACACATGTTCAAACCAAACTTAAAAAAAATATATATATATATATTCAAAAACATGAATTTGGTTCACAAATTAGAATTTCAGGTCAACTTTCTATATTCCACACAAGCTTAAAATTACACACCCCAGAAGAAATCTACACATGCATCTTCACTAAGCATTCAACGTAATTATTAGTGTCTTGAGTAGCCTGGTGTAGAAATCAATGCAAAGACAAAGATTGAAAAAACAAACAAGTACGACATCATTTGACAGGTGTTACATAAATTAGTTTGCCAAATAGAGCTTTCTTATTAAGAAACACAGGGCTTCTTTAGTTTCAACAACTCGACTATGTGGGATAACAAAAAAGAAAATTCCAAACAGCCGTACTGGCTTTTTTCTGCATGTAGGAGGAGTCTTCCTTTCATCCTGCTGACTGGCAGTGCACTGCAATAGGAGGAGGGCCAGTTCTGTCTATCTTGTTAAAAAGCACTGTAATGTGCAATTTTTTTAAAGCTTTGTCATATCCTCAAATTAACCAGTCCAATGCTAATTGCCACCAATTTTTAATAAATACCTCTGAACAGAACAAACAGGTTTTTATTTGACTGGTTTGTGGCCCATAAGTTTCTCACATAATTGTAATTCTCTCTTCAGAATCTGTGGAGATTATTCAAATTGGTTAGTTTCCTGGCACGGCCCTAACTTTTAGAGATGAGATAACAAAAAGTAGAAGAATACCCAAGTTCTATAAACAGATGGACAATAAAATTTTGACACCATCACATTTACCCCCAAGACAACAATCCTAAACCCACATTTAAACCATTTTGTAACAGAAAAAGCTGACTAAAATCAAACTAACATAAATTCAGAGGTGGTTACTCCCAGATTTTCTACACTACAGCCTGCAGCATCTAAACAACACAAATAAACCATATCCAATCTCATTCCCTAAACATGAGGGACTGAATGGGCTCAAGTTCACATACAAAGACACATCTGAGTCATCTGCATTCTGAACACAGTCCCAGAGAGAGGAGACCCGAGTCCAGTTCCTGGCAGTCATGCCTCCGGCAGGGTCATATGTTTCACAGAGGCTTGACCCTTGTTCAGCCTCTCACTGCAGGCTAAAAAGGGAAAGGTGGAACTTGTGAACTGAAAGGAATGCCCTTTCTCTGGCAACATGACAGCAACAGCAACAAAACATTCATGTTAATCATCATAACTTCATTTTAAGTAACGGTCCGATCTTTCAATTCTGAGATTGGCAACGATGCTCTTTGGACATGCAAAGGAAAATCTGCTGGTGAATAAAATTATGCGACTCGACCGTCAGAACAGTGATCGGTTGGTCACAAACCGAAACAATCTGATATTTTTCTTCCCTAAACAGTGAATGGATAATAGCTGCAAACTATTAGGGCAACATAATGGCAGTTTGGAAATTTCTTCCACCAAAATGTAGAAGAAAATTTACGAGATAAACTATTAAATCAAGTTGTGTTTTTTATTTGATTCGATGCATAAATTAGTACAATATTTTAATTACCAAATTTTATGTTGGATTCAAAACTACTAGCTCTATCAAAGAAATCCTACCAATGTTTTTCTTTTTCTCTTATGAGACAGATTGTTGGGGGGGAAAAAAAATAAAAATCAAGGAATTGGTGGAAATCAAAATTTACAACTGAGAGGTAAAAGAAAACAAGGAATCACTATCAGCAAGGAAAAGCCTGACCTATTTATAATTTTGAACAGATTTTGTACTAAAAGCTGAATTCTTTTAGTACTAAAAGCTGAATTGTTATTCTATTTCTGTTATATTTTACCGCATGTAAAAGACAAAAGAGTTCATGAGCTTTAATCTGTCATAAATAAATGCAAAATGCTGTCAAATTTTTTTTGGGAGACTTGATATATACAAACATACGCATATTGCAAATCTTTTTATATGCATTTATCTATGTATATAATTTTTTTTTAGAAAAAATCTATGTAGAAACCGATCTCTCTCTCTCTCTCTCTATATATATATATATATATATATATATACACACACACATACATCTATATCTAAATTTCAGTGACCACAAAATCTTTATGTGATAAACCTCTAATCCTAAATCAGTATACTGTATGTAAATGATAAGCTGTACCTGTATTGATGCAAAGTGAACCATCATTACACAACATGTAACGCCTTATATCCTAAATTTGTGTTGCCGTTTCCATTTCCTGTAAAGGTGCAACTGTAACTGATAACCACAGTAGAAGTTGTGTGACTCACCACACAGTGATGAGTCAGACACTTTGGGAAAGTGCAGTAATTGGAGCATGACAAGTAAAGAATTAGTTCAGAGCAGAAACTTCAGATAGATAATGTGTTGCGGTTGGTAAATCCATGTTTTGATCCTTACAAGGGTCAGCAATAAAATACTTTTTAAATTGATGTTAATATACAACATGTTAATTAGCATTTTGTTGCCCATGTTATTTACGCCAAATTAGTTTATTTCTATCTTGCATTTCATTTTAAGAAATAAACTTAAGTTAAATAAAAATGCATGGTTTTATTTTTACATTGAAGCATAAAAGAATAACATTTTTTACTTGTGAAAAATCTACTTAATAGTTTACCCCCCCACCACTCAACCAAAAGGAGAATCTTCTTAGACAGGATACAATGTTAATCCTGCTTCCCTAAAATAACAGCAGCAGCAGCGCTACAAAACATAATTCTGACAAAAGAGGTAATCCAGGCCTCGGCCTAGATGACAGCGATGGCACACAAAGCCAGGTGACAGTGAGAAGTCACACAAACACCCGGACAGAAACAGAAGATGCCACAGTGACTGTCATGAGGGAGTGAAGATGTGTCAAGTGTTCAGCCAGCGTGGAGGGAAAAAGAAAACAAAAGGAAAGGGCTGAATGTGGTCCAAACGCACAAAATATTATAGGAACACACATCTGGAGTCGAACTGGCAAGCAGCAGCACTCCTAGCATTGTGCTCAACACGCACCCACACACCGACAGTGAAGTGATGCTACTGACAAATACAGCAGCAAAGGGCACGCCAAGGTGCCAGAAAACTCTTTGACAGCTAGTCTCTTTTACCTTTGCTGGAAGCCGGCTTACTCAGAATTTCTGCTTGTTAACTCGGTTCTGGGATGGCAGGGGAGTTTGGGGGACTAGCTGAGAATAACAAAACTGGTTTTCGGATTACCAAAACGAGAGGAGGCAAAGTGACTAGGCCATCATTTAATTGCCATCGATATTGAAGACTTCTGGGGTAATCATTAGCCAAATTCTATCCCCCAGTCATCCACCTGCCTCATCTGGCTGTCAGACGTGTAAGCAGGTGAGTGCACACACCACAGGAGGCACAAACTATTGATCTGAAAATTGCCTGTTGCAACATTTTTCTTTGAATGTTTCCCAGAGCAGTGCGTGTTCTGCATTTAGAAATCCTAACTCCACACAAGGAGTCTGATTTCAACGGCTTGCAGAGAGTACAAAGTTTGACGACTTGCTCTGGATTTCTTCGGCATTGAGGAGAATTAACTTCTCGTCTTTATTGCATAGGCAGCCTCAACAGTAAACTCAGTGTTGCTTAAAGTATAGCCCTGAAATATGAAGAGAGCAATTCGGATGTTGCCTGGGACTTAGCGGGAAATGATAAATGTAGAAATCAATTGGTCAAGCGGCACAATCCACTTGGCACATACTGTGTATTGTTTAAGAAACTCAGACTTTAAGTCACATAAGAATATTGATTTCTTCGTCCACAACATCATAACTAAAGCAAAACATATTTCTAAATTATATTTTCTGTTCTTTTACACTTCGATCCACGTGCTTTAAAATTCTAACAGCAGCTTTGACCCAGTTTTGTAATTAACACAGTAATTCAATTCATATATATTGTTTTATGTTTCTGTTTCATAATATATTTACAGCACCTACTATTTTTCTTTTACCCATGAGAAATGATGCATAATCTTTAACCCCCTCGTTAAGAACTTACTTCAGTGACATAATATAATGCTGATAATTTTTTTTTTTTTAGAAAACAACTCAACCTTTAAGTTTTAGGACATGTTTGCAATAAAAACACATTAAGAGAAAATTGTACCAAAATCACTGTTTCCACAATTATTGGCACCACAGCACCTTCACATGGTCCAAGTGCTCCACAAACTGAGTCACCCCTCACCTTTTGGTAGAATAACTTTTTAAAAGACTTAAATTTCTTTCAGCTGTTCAATATAGAATAAAAAGACAACTTACTATTGAAGTAACATAGATGCCTGTTGACTGCTGTATGCTAGGAAATGGCTACCAGAATGCAGCTATAACTCAGGCGGTATCTATATCATAAAACCGAACATTGGTTTTTACTGGGATTTTGAGCAAGATAATGAGCCAGGATGTATGGTCAAGTCAAATCAACACAGGACAGATTCATCAGGAGCATTAACTTCCCACCGTGGTTGAGTCTTCAGGCCTAAATAGGACAGAAGAACTGGTGAGCTGAACTGAGGAGTGCAAAGGCAGTAAACCAGGACTCTCCATGGCATAAACACATTTTGCAAACCATAATTGTCCGAGATTCCTCAGTGAGTGGCAACCCTGTGAAATGTTAAAGAAAAAGTGATTTTCTATTGCAAAAAGGGAGCTTTATCAGAAAAAAAAAAATATCAATGTTGTGCTGACCTTGCTCAGAAGAATGTATTTATTTATTTTTTATTTTAATTTACAGGCACCAAAAAGTATGAAAAAACTGCAAAGGCACTGCCTTATGTTAGTCCACTTCCAGCGGTAGCTTTAACATCAAATTCAAAAAAAAAAAAAAAAGGTGTCCACAGAGAATTGTTCCAGTCAGCGGCTCACTTCATACTTACAGCTGTATTTGACAACCCAGCAGCCAGCAAGAAGACCCAGGAGGGTGGAGTAGGTGGTGGGCATTTGTCCTTCTGGCACGACGACATGGCTCACTGAGAGAAGAAAACAAACATGAACAAAACCAAACTGAAAAGAGACACTTAAGGGAGTTGTGCTACAAACTTAAAATAACAGCAGTCTGTGCTTGACTAGATGGTTCCAGATCGTGTGATCAATGATAAGGTATAAAGAACAAAAAAACAATAAATAAATAAGAGGCCATTAAGGAGCAGCTTATTGTGCGTCAGACATGGAGATATAGTACCTCGCTACTGTATTTATACTGGAACTTTTAACATGTTGTCACGTTATAACACAACAACAAATTTTATTGGGATTTTATGTGACACATTAACAAGAAAGCAGGGCAATGAGACATGGCTGTCACATTTCTGATAAAAAAAAAATAAAATAAAAAAAAAATCAGAAAAGTAAATAAAATCCAGTTAAACAAGCTGCATTCAGAAGTCCTCTAATTAGTAAAAATAAAATAAATAGACTGAACTGCTTAATTCATCTAAGAATTAATGCCGGTATTTTGCAATGTCCTTAGAAATTGCTCTATATTAGTAAACAAACAACATAATGAAGACCAAGTAGGTTTAGGTTACAAAACAAAACCCCCAATCTTTGACCAGCTTATGGGATACTGATCAAATCAATGAACCATAAATCACTATTTTTAATGGGAGAATGGATAAGCCATTTTAAGTTATTGTGCTGCTTGCTACAGACCATGAAGGGGAAACAGCAAGTGTGTTGAAAAAGTTGCTCAGGTCAGACGAGACCAAAATTGAACTTTTTCATCTGCATGCAAAGTGCTTGTGGAGGAAAACTGTCACCTTGAACACAATATCCTTCTGGCGAAACATGGAAGCGGTGTGATTCTTTTCTTTATCAGGAAGTAGGCCTGCACCATGGTCGAAAATATTGCATTCCAATATGATTGCTAAATGTTGCATATGACCTGATGATTGGTTAACACTGTGGCAACCAGTTCAATTAACCCATATTTCCCACACTACCACCTATATTGTCTATCTTCACAATGTTTCCCCTTAAAAATCTTGGTCATGTCTAAACACGGACACTTGAAGGTCTCTCAAGTGGCCAAATTAAGTATTGGCAAGCAGAGTTTTCATGCATAACACCTGAGATATTATATTCCACAAAGCAGTTTATCCAACCAGTTCTTTGTGATTGCAACAAAATACGTCAGAACTAAATCTAAATGAGTCTGTGGGAAACTGATGTTGAAAGAAAAAAAAAAAAGTCAAAAGTAAAGATCTCTGGATGTGCAAAGATGAAGGAATGCAAAAGTGCTGAAGCTGCATTTACAGCAAAAGGTGACCCACAAAGACATGGTTCAGAAGAGCCAAATTATAATGTTTGCCACTCTTATGTGAAGGTACTCTACTTTGTCCAACACTGCGAATGCTGTTAAGTATAATATACAGGGCATAACATTAGCAATCATCAGATATGCACAAAGCAAAACAACATAATCTCAGTTTTTTCAGTTATACGTTTAGACAAAATGTGGATCTCTGGCTTTTGAGGTGATTTCATTCACTCCATAATTTGTCACTATTTGGGTTAATAAACACGTTTTGAATTAAAAAAAAGTGGAAATCAGAAAACTGATATAAAAAAATTTAAAAAGTGGAATTTGGGAAAAATAAAACAGATTTCATAAGACCTACCTTACCCGAGCCACAACGGAGGCATACTTCTCACAGTGTTAATTTGCCAGCGTTTCTCACTTTGAGTGAGTGACCAGGTAAACCTACTGTATGCCTGTCAAACTGCTGCTGACAATGAAACAAAAACCAGAGCAGGGGTTTTTGCTATAAAAGGCAGGGTCACATAATTATAGGTTAATTAAAATTTAAATACAAGCTTATTGCCTCTTCATTCAATGAGTGAGGCGAGTTGACAAGTGCAGAACGAACATAATTATATCCCAGGGGTAAAAACTCTTCTTACATTTTGCATTGAAACTGTAGCATTCAGCTCAAAATGATAAAACCTTGGAAAAAAAAAAAAAAAAGTCTGAAAGTACAAACAGTCACCCCTGCAGCCAGAGGGGGGGAAACAACAAGAAGCTCCTCTGCTTTTCATTAGTGTGAATTCATCTCTCTGACAGCACCTCCAAACATTTTATGAGGAACGATTTCAATTACTTCTGCTCTCCAGTGTTCTTCCAGCCATTACTATGCAACAGTGAAGGAGCTGCTGCATCACAATGATGTATACACCACTAAAAGCTGCTGTTTGCTACTGTTGAACCTTCATGAGTGATAATGCTCAGGTACTGACTCACAGCTTTTACAGTACAAATGGATCTGTGTTTCTTAGTAAGGCGTATGGAACAGAGCTGTGTGTGTGTGTGTGTGTGGGGGGGGGAAATAATTTCACCAAACATTATAACTGCAGTGTGAGACCGGCTCTTCATGATAGATTTCTCATTCTTCCAAAATGGGAAGCTGGGACAAAACTGCCCATTTATATAACAACTTCTGTGTATACTTCTAAGAATATTGGGCAAGAAAAGATGTTTATGCAACAACAGCTGTATGAAGGGGCTGCAGTGAAAAACTGGCTGTTGGCCAATCTTCACCTTGATCGACTTTCTTTTTATCTTGAGCGAATTCGCCACATGAGAGTTTAACTAGGCCATAGGTGTCCAAACGCCAGTGACCTGCCAGTTTTAGATGAGTCTCTGCTGTAACACAGCTGATTCAAATGGTCCAATTACCTCCTCTGCATGTGACGCCTGCTAACGACCCATCAGGTTGGAAAACTGTTGCTCTGTGTTATCATTTGGATCCTGATGTAAAGAATATGTCATTTATGGCTGCTCACGGCAGGAAGACGAGAACAAAAGAATATTTTAAATGCCGTTTCTTTCGTCCTATGCAATAGGTCTACAAGGGAGCTCAGAAAAAAACAAAAATAGGAATCTGTATCAGAGAAAAAAAAAAAAAAAGTTTTACAGTGAATGGAAATCAGCCACAAAATTCTGAAGGTGCATATCCAATTTTTACATCTATTGTTTACTCCTGCAAATCTCAGTTGCTGAAAAGTTGTTAGAAAATAATCGTTGTCGAGCAATGACAATTTGCAACGTAGAGGCAGAATTTCAGGTTTATGGATATCCAGGAGCAAGATGGTAAGTAACACTACCTGAGCCAGAAAAGGTATCAACGATCCTTCCTCCCAGTAGCACTCCCAGTTTGACTAGCTGACGCTGCTCAGGCGATGATAGCTTGCTGGCCAATAACATCAAAGTCTGATCCCTTCTCGCACTCTCACTCGACTAAAATGAGACATAAGAACACGGTTATACAGTCTCCGGGCACTTAATGCGAGAATATCAGCGCTTAAGGGTTGCCAAATGCAAGATGGAAAAAAGGATTATTCACTGATTTATGAAGACATACCGCGGAGATAGTGGCTGAGGGGCTATGAGATGTATGAGAATTAGCATATTGGGTTCCTTCTGCAGCTTCCTGGAAAATCGCCAGCATCTCCTGGCTCACTGCGTAATCTGCAGGACGCTTTCCATGTAGATTACTGCAAAGAGGAAATAAAATTCACAGATAAAGCATATCAGTGTTTCAAAGAATGTACCTCTGTGTTAATGAGTTTGAAGATGAGGATGAAAAAAAAAAAAAAAAAACATGAACTAAAACACAACTAAAGCAAAAGGACACACAAAACTCATGTGGTTTAGTGCAACGGGATGTTCCATTCTGTACGCCGATATCTCATAAAGAATAACTTCTGATGTTAAACATAATAGTAACCAGCAACAGAAATTTTGTCAAGATTTGTATGTGTAAAAATGTAAAATTTCAGAGTTTCTCCATATGTTTTCTGTATTTTACCAGTCTAATTTGTCAAGTATTTCCCACCCCCACATTTTGGCCCTTCTCTAGTTCAAAGGACATCCTCTCAATAAGAAATGAATATTCTTCCAACATGTTCTCACAATACTTGAACATCTAAGTTCTGCTGGAAGTTCAATAATCCCATGTTGAGGGAAAAGCAATCTGGCAAAAATCACACCCCACCTGTTCTGTGAAGCTGTGCAACAATATATGATTTTCCCTTGATGAACAATAATCTTTGCCTCTCTTTAGTTTGATATGAGATAAAACTGAGACATAAAGTCCAGTTTTATCAAAGATCAAAATTATGTTCTTTCCATTAATACAACACTCCACACAATCATTGCCAACCCTGGTAAGACTGTAATAAATCATCATGGACTCTTAGATGTCTGCTCCTGCTCGAGTTCCCCAACAGTGAGCCTCACTCACTGTATGATAGAAACATCCTTGTCAAACTTCGCTTTAGTTTTATTTTTACTTGTTGACCTGGGTGGTGTTTCAGTTATTAAAACTGTTGCTTTACACCAAAATGAATTTGAATCCTGACTGGAGCCCTTCTTTACAGGGCGTACATGTTCTCCCTATGCAGGCATCGTTTCCCTCCGACTTCTCCGCACGGCTACAAAACATCTGATATTTAGGGAAACGCATCTAAAAAAAGATCCCCATTTCTTTGGGGATTCAGCATATATTTTAAATCTGGTGCACAGAAACCTTTTCAATATAGTGTGTGTAATGGAGGCTTAAAGTCAAATCAAAAGCACCGCTATGCACAGACACTCAAAGATGATAAAAGTGCAACCATCTCCTGGTTACAAAGAGGATGTTGAAATGAAGTGCGAGTTTGAGAAAGCTGCCTGAAAGGTCACCTTGAGAAAGTGCAAAAGAGGGGGAAAAAAGGGATGAAGAGAGAGGATGGCGGGAAGAGAGGATACAAATAGAAGAACCGAGCCCAGCAGGTCGTCTCTAAAAGATTAGGCGTCAGCAAAGATAACACCTGGGGGACAATTAATAGGTCCACTGGTCCATAAAATATTTCATTTGGATTCATTCTCCCAGCCGAACACACACACAAATATAAACAAACAGAGAATGTCCCTGACACTTCAACATATGCATGCACACACGCTGGTGTATGCATGTGAGGAGAATATGCAAAGATTTCAAGGGAAAGGGGGGGAAAACAAAATCATGGCGGAGGTAAAGTAATAAACACTACAGGGCTCTGCTTCTGCTTGACCACAAGTTTGACTCTAGTGAGCATGAGCTGCAACATGCATCAAAACCAGTCACTGCCACCATTTTGGGACTAGAGAAGCATTATAACAATGCAATAACAATTATCGCAATCTAAACAGTTCTGATATTGCAATGGTGATATACTGTGCAGCTAGAGGTGTGCCGATCGATCGGTCACCGATCATAATCGGGCCGATTTTCGTGAAAAAGTGCATGATCGGTGATCATTGGCTCTTGTTGCCGATACCGATCACCTGCTTCTCATTTCGCAGCCTGCCTGTGCAGCTGGTCTCCTCTTTCCTTCACACTGCGCAAACGCGCAGCAACAAATCCTAAGCGATGTGGAACTATAACGCACTGAGTGAATGGGGAAGTTTGCGTGTTGCGGCGGAAAATTGAAGCAGTCAAAATGCATCAACACAACGAAGCTAACACGACATAAAAACAATGACATACTTGACGGAATTTGGCTACATCGAGACTCACTGCAGTAAAAAAGACATACGGAGGATCAGATAGCAGGTAAAGCAGCGCACAGCTACAAACACTCACCCGGATTAGCATGACGGTCAGAAAGCTAAACAAATAACCCGCAAAATTATTTAAGTCTTCGAGCTGCGATGTAAAACGCTGGTTTTGCTCTCCTGTTGAACCGCTGCTACGCTACAGGTAGTAATATTTGACAGACGGAGCTTCGCTTCTGCTCCACCTGGTAGTGACTCTCACACCGAACCTTTTTCCACATAATGTAACCAGTAGTGCTTATGATAAAAAATAAATAAATAATAATAATTATGTGATCGGTATCGGTGATCGGCATCGGTATCGGGAGGAAAAAACCTGATCGGCACATCTCTATGTGCAGCACTATAATAGTTTCTTATGTTTATGTAGAAAGATTACAAGGATGTTTTCAGTTCCTCAATTCTTATGTTTCCATGCAAACATTTGCATTTTTATTCCACACAATAAAATAAAACTAATGGCAAAAGATTTTCACTTTTCATTTTGACCTTCCATGTCAGTCGGCTTCAAATGGTATGCTGTATATTTTTCTTCTCCTTCAACTGCATTTTCTCTCACAGTAATTTTTTTATTTTTATTTTTTTGCTCTAAACCTAAAAAATAAATAAATATATAAAGCTGTATGTAAACAAGGTTTTATAAGCTATCTTTTCTTCTCGGTGCAAAATTTTTTATGGTTCGTGTTAAAATTAACGTTTAGGTGCAAGGAAAAAAATTACCATTTGAATTATAAAGACTGATGAGCCATGTTAGGCCTGCAATTTGCATCCTCCACAAAATGCCCTTTCCTCAACGCCTATGAATTTGTGCATAGGTTAGAAAAAGACCACTGATTTTTACTGCATATATGATTTTTAAATTTAGTTCAAAATTAACAGAGGGTGTCTGGTCATTTCCAACAGTCTCTCTGCAGCACCTTTGCTTAAGCCATTAGCAATATTTCAAATTTCAACAGAAAACAATTAGAGTTTGGCACATAGGAGCCAAAACTCTTCAGTCTGCACTTTGGCTCGGCAAGCAACTACAGCAGACAGTATAGTTTATGGAGTATACTTCAAAGATTGGGAACATAACGACACCCACTCTCTAAAAGTTGTCAGACCCACATCATCTTAAAGGTGGCCTCTAAGGCTTTCCTGTAAACAAGCAAAGTTTCTGCTTGCACTCAGTCTTCCTCACCAGAACACATTCTGTGAACCATTGAGGTTGATAAAAGCTGGAGAATATATTTGCCAGCTACAAAAAATTGAGCACATTTTAATTAAGACACTTACTTTCTTGTTCCTTCCTCAAAATGATAACATTTTGTAATGACGTGTTGTGAGAACTGAGTGCAGAGAATTAAATAGGCAACAACTTTTTCTCTTTCTCACTGTTTATTCAATGTCAAATGCTGTTTTTATTTTAATTATGTAAAGCACTTTGAAATGCCTTGCTGCTGAATGTGCTATACAAATAAAATTTGATTGATTGATTGAACAAAAACTCCAGTTAGTACACATGCTTTCTAATTTAAATGTTAACATTAAGAACAAAAAGCCTAACATGTCACTATGAGGTAATTAATACAGTATTTTTATAAAAGTAAAAACAAACAGCTAGAAAACAAAAAAGTTCCAAAAAAAAAGAGAAAATTCACAATTATCTTCTATTTAATTGACATTGCTTGTTTGTTGCACAAGCATACATTTTGTAACTACACAGTAGTTACAAAATGTAACTACTGTTACATTTTGTAACAGTAGTTACAAAATGTACATTAATGCTGTACATTTTAATGTACAGCATTAAAATGCTGTACATTTTAATGATGTACTGAGTTGACATTAATTAACAGCCAAGTATGGATTGGAGGTTTTGAATTAATGTATGGAGTCAGCATTATTCCTCTGCCAGCTGTCAATTCAAACATACTGAGTAACTTCTTATCTACTTACCGTCAATTTTTTACTTTAATCACACAGTAATAACCAGTGGCAGTAAACTGCCTTCTGCATGTTGAGTGTGTAATTTTCAGGCCACTTCTTTAGCGTCCTAAAAGTTCAGCCGTGGTACTATTTGCACCTCCAGCACAGATGCAGAACATTGTTTTGCATCTCATGTGGCTGTGCAGGTGTATCAAATACATTCAGATTTAAAACTAAGACTCGTGTCTAATACAAGATTGATTATGCAAATAAAGTTTGTGCTGCTATAGTAAGCACAAACACAAAAATCTGACTTTTCACCCACAATAACTGTTTTCCCTCAAAATCCTTATAGAATATTCTAGACAGACCTTTTATTATTAGTCTTGATCTCTTATTACGTGCCAATGAGGTCCTGAGTTGTCAAAATATCAATGTTTGCCTGACCCTGAGCGTGATGCTCTGACAATATGTTGAAGTATTTATTGTACATCTTAAAAATATTCAGAACTAAAACTTGAATATGAAAAAAGCTGTAAGAAAAAGGCCTCTGATCCGAAGTCTGTTATTAGTTCATTGTGACAACTCTTTCCCCCAGACACTAACGGCTGAGTTCTGAGGCTCAAAGAAATAGAGAATGGGGGGAAAAAAAAACACACACACACACAACCATGAGAAGTCCTGCCTGTTTGAGAAAACCGAACAGGACTGGTAAAGACCTGATATGATGAATATGTGATTTTTATTTTATGCTTTGAGAAGTCCTTCCAGTTTAGCTTAAAAATCTTGCAAGACTGTAGTTTTGCTTTTTTTTTTCCACACCATATCGTGAGGTACTAAAAGTGTCATTTTAGTGACGCATTTTTCAGAAATACAGAATCTTTTGCCTGTTTTAAATTGTAATAAAGATCATTTATTGGGAAATAAATAAATGATCCCTCAGACTGAATTTTGATAGTGATAGCGATATGATGCTGACTATTTACAACCAACAGGTTTTCAAGTGCAA